CACACACACACACACACACACACACACACACACAGCGACAGATCACAACTCCAGTCTCCATCATTTAAACTAGAGAACCTTTATTAAATAATTCATGGTCACTTTCCATGAGGTCTCAGTTTGATATTCCTCATCTGAAAAAAGAACTAGTCGACCATTCCTCTGGTTAAGTGTGCATATCAAGGCTGACCTGCATGGCAGGACAGGGGGAGCTGACTGTCTTCCCCAAAACAGAATAATGAAGAGCAGGGCTAGTGTCAGTCCACTTTCAATTCAAGCGTTCAACAAAACATAACCAGGACGAGCTTCAAATATTCCCCTGCTTCTAATAAAGCATGATGGTTTTAATTTCTATTTCATTTTTTTTCCCTTAAGTGAGGAACTCTGAATTAATTGAACTGAAAGTGAAGTGAAAACAGTCCTGGATTTAAGAGTGCTGATACTACAAACAACAACAAGAAAGAAAAACAAACTGCAGATTTTCTGTTCGAATCGCTCATTTTTCAATTCACATGTGAACTGACAAACTGAAATACCCATATGAAGGAAACTGCAGTTTAACAAACCTACTGAGAAAGAATATCTGTTTGAATTTAATAATATTGCCCTTATGGGCTTTTAAAGATTCTATGACCTTATTTCCCAAAAACGTTTCTCCTGTGGGCAAACGAGTCCATCCGTACTAACGACGGCTTCACAGAAGAACAACAGATCTCAATGAAAAAGTGCTTTGTATTGTTCACTCAGTAATTCAAAAACTAGAGCAGTATATTCACTACACAGGATCGATTATTAAACGTAAAGCAAAACCAATGTGAAAGATATAACTGGGTAAACACACTGCATGTTGCAGAATTGTTGTGAGAGGGCTTTACATGCCGGCAGCGTGGTTTTCTGGTGTCAGCTGACATGGGACAGAAGCAACTTTGGTAATAAGTGCCCTGCTAAGAAAAAGGCTACAATGTCCTGTTCAAAAAAACAAAAGAAAACATAAACGCACTGAAATACTGGCCTGTGTGAAC